CCATCTTCCAGGCTACGGTGAACAGGACCCAAGTAATTCAATACTCAAGTGTCTGTAGTGTCAGAAAAGGTCACGTCTTTGATTCACAATTTGTATTTCCTCACTGAACTATAACAGAAATTTTTCCTTACATATTCATTCTCACAAAGCCATAAATATACCCATAATAAAGCCTGAACAAGTTTTCTAAAATACTCCTTAGGCTGTTAGTGTGTTTGATGTCTTTTTTTGAGGGTAGGTTTTCAAATACCCATTGTTTACAGTAACACTTCAAAACAGTAGTTTCGGAAGTAGAAAAACACAGCCAAACTTGAATTCAAAGGGACTTTGGGGAGGTTGTTTTCTTTAATTCAAGTCTTCACCTGATTTCATGGGTCACTATCACATTTTTGGCGACACTGAAAATATTTCCAAGTGCCCCTTCACACTGCTGTACTTTACTTAAAATCCAAAATTTAAAAAACCCTTATAAAGTAGGTTTCTCTGGGTAAAGCTACTTCTGAATGTAACACACAAGTAACTATTAAGAAAATCCAAAATTTAAAAAACCCTTATAAAGTAGGTTTCTCTGGGTAAAGCTACATCTGAATGTAACACACAAGTAACCACTAACTACTGATACAGGCTGTTCTCATTAAAAAACATTCCCTTGGAACTGGAATGGACAGATACAATTTCAGAGACATGGCAGAGGTCTTTAACCACAAGGTACCAATATTATGCAGCTCAATATTTGCATTATTTGACCCCCACGAAACATAAAAATATTTTAGAACTCAGAGTTAACAAAGCACTAAAATTCATTTTTAAGGTCTGAAAGCAAATACAAAAATCATTATTGCCTTCAAGTTTCTTTTGAAAGGAGGCAAAAGTCAGCCTTCAATAAACACATATAGACACTGATTCGTTCAGGTGGCTCACTTTTAGAAGAAAACTTAAGCAAGAGTTGGTAGAACTCACAGATCAGTATTATTTTAAAGTAGAAATCAGATTTGCTTCAAATAGTTCTCCATTATTTTGTTCCCTGTGCCCTAATTGGGATCCCAATCAGATTTTAAAAAGCTACCCTATTTCCTTACAGGACCCGCTAGAACACATTAATTCATATACTTCAAGTATTCAGCACAGAAAAAAAAAGTTCTAGTATGTACCTAATGGAATTAATTCTTTGAATGGAATTAACCTTGTCTGTGGGAGCTGAAACAGAAACCCCTTTAAAGCTTGACTTAAACTGTGTGCTCACTGGCTGTGAGCATGGCTGATGCTGCACCAGAGTAGTGCAGAGAGAAAGAACAATTTACACACCCATGACCCCATCAAACAACAGAGGGAACCTGAAACCGATCATATGTTTCAGTTCATTAAACTCTCAGGCATTAGCTCAAGATTTAGCACTCCTACTAAAATCAACACAGTAAAAGCAAACATTTTTCTACTCATTTTTCATCTCAACGACCATACATTTAAAAATTCATAAAACAAAACATGCATAGACTGAAAAAAATTGTTTACACCACCTCCTCAAAAAAAAAAAAAAAACTCTTCAGATATTTTTTGCACAAGCCCATGTATTTTGGAGTCTTAGCTTTCTGAGATGCATTTAGATATGTTGCTCTTCAGACACAGAACTCAAATCCTTAAAAAGTTAGAAGGAGACAGCAACTCCACTAAGAGACAAAGCAGCTTGATGAACAATCTGCCTCTCTTAGAATGACTACTGAATAATTAACTTGCAGCTGTCTGCCTCAAGTAGACCTATATAATGCTCCATTTCCAGAACCCATGCAGCTTTTTCTGCCTCACACATCCTCTGAGGCACTACACTATCAGGTTTTCTTCTCTGGTTTCTCAGAACAATACCCCTTTGGCACATAAGCTCTTTTAAGCATATTGTTATAAGCACATTTTTCTACCTACACTCTTTATTCCTGGAATACACATTGCAGCATAGACAGCTTTTTCCCAGCCACCCATAAATTATTTTGGAGCAATTGAGTGACAGCTGTAAATATTTAATGTAGTTTCCAAACCTCTTCCAAAGCACTGAAACAGTGGGACGGTTTTACACAGATTTTCGGCGTGGAAGAGTGAAATAAGTGAGAAATAATGAGTCCTTAGTGGCAGGGCACAGGGAAGCGGGCAGAAATGAGTTTCTGCAGGGAAAGGCAGAGGCTTTCTCCGGCAGGGAAAGGCTGCGGGCTCCTTCCCAAGCGCTGCGCAGCCGGCGGGTCGCCGCCAGAGGCCGCTGCAGGACCCGGCAGGGCTCGCCCTCCTTCCCGCAGGAGGCGAAGCACCAGAGCCGCCTCACAGCCAACGCGCCCCGGACACGCCCTAGACTCCAGAAAGGAAAGGAAAAAGCAGAAGGTTTCTTTAAAGGTTCTCAATTCCACCGGAGCAGCAACGCTAAAATGTTTTTGTCCCTATTTTTATTGTGGTCCCACTGGAATTTTAAAGCATTTTCAACACTTTGTTATTTTACTTTATGCTACAACCAGTTCATGCTTTGTCACTTAGGCTCTTTTTAGTGTATCAACAACATAAAACAATACAGCAGTAATAAAATCCAAAGATTATTACAGGACAGAAAGCTAAACTGAGTATAAAATTTACAGAAAAGTTAAGCAAATCCAAAAGCGGAAAGCACCGTCCTTTACAGCACACCACCATGTGAATGGAAGAGTTTGGAGCGAGTACTCCAGAGTGCTTTCAGATCTCCATGTCACTGCCAAACATTCACATTAGTCTATTACCAAGGGTTCAGCCCCAAGATGCAGGTCCTAGCAGATCAGCTTTACACAGATCTTCCCTTGGTGGGAATGGAACATCATTTTCAAAGAAATGAAACAGAAACCAATGCTGGCCCTGGTTTGCATAGTTTCCAGTGAGCTGAACTTCCTTCAGTACCACACACTACCTGCTGCTACATTCCAGCTTCAAGTGTTTTGCCAGGTAATACACAAAGCAACCACCATGCATCATCTTTTTAAAAGCGATAACTTCATACTTCCAGAGGCACAACTTCATGGACTCATAGAATTGTTAAGATTGAAAAAGACCTCAAAGGTCATTGACTCCAGCTGTTAACCCAGCACTGCCAAGTCCACTGCTAAAACACATTTCCAAGTGCCACACTGACGTGTTTTTTGAATATTTCTAGGGATGGTGATCCCACCACTTCCCTGGGTAGCCTGTTCCAATGCCTGACCATTCTTTCAGCGAATAAATTTTTACTAATATCCAATCTTATGCATATTAGGAAAAAATTCAATGGCACAACTTGAAGTGATTTCTTTTCCTCCTATCATTTGTTACCTGGGAAAAGAGGCCAACCTCCACCTTGTTACAGCTTCCTTCCAGGTGGTTGTAGAGAACAGGAAGGTCCCCCCAAACTTCCTTTCCTCCAGGCTAAATGACCCAACTCCTGCAGTCATTCCTCATAAAACTTGTGCTTCAGACCCTTCACCAGCTCCACTGCTCTTTTCTGGACACGCTCCAGCCCCTCAATGTCCTTCTTGTAGTGAGGAGCCCAAAAATGGACACAGGATTCGAGGTGCAGCCCCACCAGTGCCAAGTACAGGGGGACAATCACCGTCCTGGTCCTACTGGCCACACTACTGCTGATACAGGCCAGGATGCCCTTGGCCTTCTTGGCCATCTGAGCACATTGCCGGCTCTTCTTCAGGCAAGTGTCAGTCAGTACACCCAGGCCTTTTCTGCTGGGCCAGCTTCCAGACACTTTTCCCACAGTCCTGTCAGATGTAACTTGTCCAGATCCCTCGGCAGAGCCTTCTCATGCTCCGACCCCACGGGAGCATCATTCTCCTCCCTGTTCCCTTTATCTGGCTCAGGGCTGTACATCACAAGGGTAACTGCCTTTGTCGTTAAAGAGCGAGGAATAGACTTTTGTACCACAGCCTTTTCCTCATCCTTTACCACTATTTCCCCTTGCATTCCACAAAAAGATAAACAATCTCCTTAGCTCTCCTTTTGCTGCTGATGTATCTGCAAATACATTTTGTTGTCTTCACAGCAGTAGTCAGATTAAGTACTAGATGGGTTTCAGCCCTTCTAATTTTCTCTCAGCACAACCGTACAAAATCGCTGTAGTCCCCCTGAGTTGCCTGACCCTTCTTCCAGAGGCCATTAACTTACTATGCACCTGTGCTTGTGCCCTCCCTCATGGCACCAACACCTGATGCTGGGACATGGCTCACACACCCACCGGGAATGCGGAGTTACAGAAAGACCTTGGTTGGAAAAGGCCTCTGAGATGATGCCATCGAGTCCAGCCCATGACCGAACCCATGTCACCCAGACCATGGCACCGAGTGCTGTGCCCAGTCTTTTCTTAAACACCTCCAGGGACAGCGACTCCATCAGTTCCTTTGGCGGTCCAATGTCCATCTGCCCCGGCGCCCTCGCAGGGCGCTGCTTTCCCCGGGAAGCCCCACCCTGGCCCGGCCAACGCAACCCGGCGAGGGTCCGAGCCCCCATCCCGGGCTCGGAGGCCAAGCCGAGTCCCGCATCCCTCCCGCCCCAGCAGCGCCATGAGCCTACTCGGGCTGGGCGGGCGCCGTGGAGGCTGCGGAGCGAGCCAAGCTTTGCGGAAGCGGAGAGGCGCAGCCTGTGCCCACCCCCCTTCCCGGTGCCTCAGGACCGGCCGCCCCTTCCCGCCAGGACTCACTCCTCTTCCCCCGCCGCGATCCACGGCCGCTTCCGCTTCCGCCCCCCGCCGCTCCGGCCCCGCCCAACGCGCGTGCAGGGCGAAGCCCCGCCCCTCTCCGCGACCGCGCCCCGGACCGGTCCCCGCCGAGGGCGTGCCCGAAGCCCCGCCCCCTGCGCGTGGCCACGCCCCCAAGCGTCTCTCCCGCCCCTCGGGCCCCGCCCTGTGCGGAGGGGGCGGGCGCGAGGCCCGGAGGAGGCGGGGCCGCGTGCCGGGGCGCCGCTCGCCGTTGGCCGCGGGAACTCTCGCGCGAGCGGGGATCCGGAAGCGGCAGCAGGGCGGGTGGGAGGCCGCCGAGGAGGCGGCGGCGGGGAGTCGCTGTGGCCGCAGGTGGTGGCAGCGCCCGCGGCAGCAGCAGCAGCATCGTCAACACCATCAGCACCATCGCAGGGGCCTGGCAGCGGCTCGGCCCCCGCCCCGCCAGGAGGGCTGTCTGCGGCGGCGTCTCCGCGCAGGCTTTGCCGCGGTAGCGCCCCGGCAGCGGTCGCGCCGCGCCGGGCTGTAAGATGGCGGCGGCGGCGGCCGGCGGGGGCGGCAGTGTGAACCCCTTCCTCAGCGACTCGGAGGAGGACGAGCCCGAGGAGCCCCGGCCCGGCGGCGGCAGCAGCAGCAGCACCGAGCCGGGCGGGCGGGCGTACCCGCAGCAGCAGCCGGAGCCGGCGGCGGGGAGCCCCGAGGAGCTGCCGGGTCTGCGAGCGGCGGCGCCGGGCGATGCCGCCGCGGGGGCAGGGGAGCTGCCGCGGGTGCCGATGGACGCGATAGCGGCGCAGCTGCTGCGGGACCAGTTCCTGCTGACGGCGCTGGAGCTGCACACGGAGCTGCTGGAGAGCGGCCGGGAGCTGCCCCGGCTCCGCGATTTCTTCTCCAACCCGGGCAACTTCGAGCGGCAGAGCGGCACGCCGCCCGCCGGCGGGGCCCTGGGCAGCCTGGGCAGCAGCAGCGGGCTCGGGGGAGCCGGCGGCAGGGAGCCCGGGGCCGGGCAGCTCAGTAAGTGACCCTGGCTCGGGGCCCGGGGGGCTGCGGGAGGCGGGGACGGCCGCCGGTAGGAGCACGGGGCTGGGCGGGGATGGCTCTCGGTGTCGCTGGGCGGCCGGGAAAGGCGTTTGGCATCGCTCCTTCCCTCGTTCCTCGCTCTCTCTAACCTGCGCGGGACTGACCGAGGCTGTAGGAGCGGGGCAGACGGGGCTGAGGAGCTGCGCTGCCAGATCCGGTGTCACCCTGGTCCCACAGGCGTAGTTTCACCGGGCTTCGGTATCTCTGTGAGTGTCGCGGGTGTTTGCCAAATGTGGGAGAAATGATTTCCAGCAGCGTCTTTAGTGTTCACTGCCAAAAGATGAGTAGTACGGTGCTAGGAGAAAGAATGGGGTTTTAAGCCGTGAGTGCCACATGTAAAGTCTAAAAACTGTCAGAAATGGGGTGTAATGAGCCAGGGTGTCGTTTCTGCTAGTGCACCTAAAGATAGGGCTGAGTTTCACAGCTCTTGCACAACTAATACAATGCTTCCTATAATTAACACTACCCTGTTTACCAAGTGTCTGTAATCTTTGGCTAGCCAAGGAAATGGGGAACAGTAAATATACTGAGTTGGTATATTTAGGGAGCAAAGGGGGTGCAGGTGTTTGGGCAGTTGTCAACAACTGGCCTTAACAGCTTTTGTGTTTTAAAAGTAGCACACATGGCTTAGAATAAAATCACTTCTGTGTCTTGTCAGTGTTGCTGTCAAGACACATAGGGTCCTACAAAGGAGGTAGCCTGTGGAAGTGGCTTTGGGAAAGAGAAGCTGACCAGCCACCTGACTTTTGAGACTTAATGAACTCGTGGGAAGGTATTGGAAGGAATTATGGGTAGCAGACAGGTGAAAGACATAATTATGTGTTTACCAAGATACCTAAAGGTATTTTGTGAATACTCCTGTATTTTCGTTTCTTTTAAGAGTTTCTGATGTCACAAAGACATGAAGCTGCACTTTAAATTTGGAAATAACTAGTAGCATCTGGATGGCTGGGATGATAGAGACAGCTAAACTTCAACTTGTTAGTGCATTTCAAGATCTTTTAAAAAATGTATGGCTTCTTTTAAAGTTCCTGCTGTGTTTTTATGTTCTGCTTGTCTTGTTTATGAATAATTAGAATTTCATACTTTTCTTTGTCCAACTGAGAGCTTCAATGTGGTCTTCCTCATGATATGATTAGTGAATATTGGAAAAACTTGTGCTTCAGGGCTTTAAACTGATAAAAATTTCTGTTTCATCCCCAAGCTGCTTCCTTGGGGATTCTAGTAAATTAATCTGATTGATTAAATATTCTCTTTTCTTTGTTAGCATAGTACGTTGTTTCCAGTTATTGATACTGCACCTACTTCAGAATTAGAAAAATAGCAGCCTGTGTAGCTGTGTTGTTATGCATGGAAAAAAAAAGACCTCTTGCAGTCTTAGAGCAATGTGCACTTATGTAAGAACATCTTAATTATTATTTTGCTGACTTGCTAATTGATAGATGTCTGTGGGATGTCCCTGTTAAAAAAAGGAGGGAGGAGGCCGTAGCAGTGAGGAGAGAGAGAAGGGGGGACTAACAGTTTAGACAAGTTTAATAATACTGAAGTGGTGAAATTAAATATCATGCTAGACCTTATGCTAAAGGTGTGTCTTGAAATCTGATATCTGCAATAGGTTAGAGAGTGCATTTCAAAGGATTTTTTTTGTCTCAGCAGTAATTCAAAAGGCACGTCACATTAAGTGACATTAAAAGGTGACAGATGCAGAACAATGAAAAAGTATTTTTATATAGCTCAAGTAGTTTTTTAACTTAGTGCCATCAGACTTTCTTGCAGTCTGGAGTCTAGCATTGAGCTAGCAATTGTGACAGCACTGTTCAGACTGATTCTGACTGAACAAGGGATGATGGTCTCATGCCTCCATAGTTATGCCATTTTCCAAATACTGAAAAGTAGATTGCAGAAGGCTCTGATGGGCTGAAAATCATGGACTTTAGAAGAGTTCCCTCGCTTTTTTTCTAAGCATCTGGTATTACTTGATTTAGGTAAGTGACTGAGCTATAGTTCAGATCCAAGAATAAGTCTGAACGGTTTCCTAAGTTAGTCACGATGTCCAGTTTTGTTGAGAGATCCAGTCTGTTGTACCTGCCTTTATAAGAGAGTTGTGCATGTACCTTCTCTTGCTTTAACATGCCCAAAGGTGTTTGAGAATGAACTACTACTTTTCCTAATAGAAACTATTGATGTAGAAAGTAGTGCAGGTTGGCATGATTGCCATTTCAAGGTCATGTGAATTTTACGCTTCAGTGAAATAAAATTCATAATATCATTAAAAAAATTATTTATATTGATTTCTGAAGTCAGAATTTGTTCTCAGTGCTTTGTATCTGCTCCTCTCAACCCCCAAGTTAGATTAATCTCTCTGGCTTTATTCTGAGGTTTTTCATAATTGGAGTGGATGCAGAAAAAGTATGACTGGCAATTCTTATTGAATGTGAAGTATGTTTGGAATGCTGCCTGAGGATTTCCACTGAGCAGTAGAAAGCTTTCGTATTTTACGTGCTGTACAGAATGGGAGAATTTCAGTACAAGTGTTTGGTGCTTAAAAGGACTCTGAGAAGTGCCAGTCTAAACTCTGAGTGCATGCTGGAATTTATTTTGGTGTGGTTTTATTTCTTCTCTTTGTCTTCAAAGACTGTTACAAAAAGATTTTGCTGAAGTGTCATTGGATTTAAACAACCAGCATCATGTGGTCAGTGAGTGACTTAGAAGCTGTTTTGTCTTTGAACCGTGCTTCAGAGCTCTTGCTTGCAACAGCAAATGACAGTCAGATGACTGGGATTTCTTAGTTCTTTGCAAAAACACCCTTCCTTTTTCCAGCAGCAGCAGCATCACATCTACAAATTGAGATTAAGATATATTGTAATGAAAAATGTGGAAATGTTTCTTCCGTCTAGCAACTTTGCTTTTCTAATTTGGAGCAAATTTCATTCATTTAGATGCCCAGCACTGTGTAGAGTAATCCTTCATGTCCTGTATCTCAGCTAGATGTTCCCAAACTTCTGAGTGCTTCTTCCATTGGTTTCAATAGCAGTAGTTTCATATGTGCTAGAGCATTGGATACCACTTTTCTAATGCTACTCATGTGAGCAATATGGTTTGGATGTCCCTCATTCTTACTGTATTCCAGATCTTTTAGAAGGCTTTTGTCAGCACCTGCACATTAAATATAAATTTTTGTCCCTATTATTTTTGCATAAGAAGGTACAGTACAAGTTGAGGTACTCAAAATTTAGAAATAAAACTGTGGCTCTAATGTCTCATCTGTGTTCCTGGACAAACAAATGTTTATTTGTTTGTTATACGCATGACCATAATTCGATCTTGTGCATATAGGGTGAAGAAAACTTTTTAATGTGATTGATATGATGCCCTTTGCTTGCTAGGTTTGATGAATGCCCTTTCCTGAAGGAATGCAGCTTATGCTGGTAGGACTAGTGTTAGTCTTAAAATTTGCCATATATTTTTTCTTTATTGCTACAAAAGTGCAGCATTTCCAAAACTTGAAATAGCTTTAATGAAAATCATAAGGGGTTTGAGCACTTATGTTACATTTGTGGTTTTCAGGAGATAATTTTTTTCTAGTTACTGTCATAATAAAATTGTTTATAGCTTTCTGGGGATTTGATTCCAGTTATATTAAACTAATCCATGAGTACAAAGATATAAAGTATTGCTGCTTCATAGTGAGCTCCAGGCTTTGTTTATGATTTGGGGTGTTTGATTTTCCTTTGGGTTTTTATTTGGGGGGTGGAATACTGTAATGCATTGCTCCTTTTGCTTGTAACCTTTGAAATTCAGATGGATCCTACTGGAAAAAGTGAAGTGGGAGGAGTATGCAGATTCTACCTTTGTGAGAGGGGATGTCTTGGTAAGAGCTCTTCTCAATCCTGAATCACAAACCTTGTAATTTTGTGTGGAGCTTTGCCATATTTCAGCTGAATTTTGTTCTGAATGAGAATAGAGCAGAACAGGGCTACTTCCAAGCAGTTCATTATATCTCAGTTTAAATAGCAGTCTAAAGAAAACAGGAAATTGAGAAGACAGCAAATAATACTTGTTCTAATGACTACTTCTTAGGTGTTCTGGTGTTGTCAGCTCAAGTCTTTGGCTTGGTACTTTATGAAAGCAAACACAAATACCTAGTCCTGTTGGCTGGATCTGCAGATAATGGGATGTAGACTGGCATCTTGTGAGTAAGAGTGGTTTCACTACCTGATTGGGAATACGTGCTCCCCTGAGAAAGGATGGGATGGAAAGGTGCAGATAAATAGGTAATCAAAGCTGCTGGTCATCAACAGATGGGAAAGGCTGATGGTTGTCACTTTTAATGAAGCACAGAAAACATCTGAAAGAGTTGAGGTTTGTACGTAATGCTGAAAGAAAAGAAAGCAGAGTTCAAACATGCTTTGAAGGTTTCAAAACTGGCAGAAAAGAGTGATGCCTGGAGGAAACCTGAGAGGCTTGATAGTGCTCTGATGTTGGCTTTACTGATAGGGAAGCCAGGTGAACTTTTCCTGTTGTGATTGCTTTAAACCCACTCCATTTTACTGACACTGGTGTTTCTGGCAGGTTTTCAGTGACATGCACTTCACAGCTTACAAGCTGCTTATGTTAAGGCTTTTGCAGCTGTTGGACTTGTCAAATTACTAAAACTGGGTGTTTAGTTTTTGGACTGGAAACTGTCCCTGATGGATGAGTCTAAGCTTTGGCTGATGTCTGTGTTGGGCTGATTTGGGATGTAATGGTAGATTGTTCAGGAGACAGGTTAGTCCCCATAAGTATGCAACTACACAAAGAAGTAACAAGGTAAGGTAGCATTGATAAGCATGAAAATTATGGACAAAGAAGCACAGAGTAGAAGCCTCTATTATTAGGCAGGTAAATAGCAAGTTATCTGTGATGACTACATTGTATTTTCCCCTGTCATAACT